GTGGGTGTACCGCATGAGTGGGTATTATCTCACGCGGTGGTGATTGGCCACCAATTGGCGGATCAATTGGTGCGATCTCTGGGAAGGCATACCTGTCTTCTCGATCTCATCGATGGACAAAACGGAGTCCAGTTTTGCCGATAGGTTAGCCATGACTTGTGTGCGCGATGTCTTAGGCGGTGATCTGATCCGTGGTATGCGTTGATTATCACCAGAAAGTGTGGATTCAATGAATGAAATGTTTGTTGTTTTGTATGTATTTTGCACTCAATTTAACGCCCATTTGTTTCGTAGGCAACAAAATGTATGGTTTATTGTATGCGAGACACAAATTACGGTACACTTTGGTGACTACAGTCGACTCACGATTTAATGTAGTTTTGAGGCTATAGTTACGCGATTTGTTATGTAATCGTCGTATAATTAACATATAAATAATTATTATGCCACAAGTAAATTTATTCATACTATTTTATAAACTTTTTTAAATTAAATGTAGAGTTCTTAACCATGTTAACTTTTAGTATATTAAAAGTAGGTATTTATAATTGTAAATCTATTTTATAATAATATTTTGTAGACATTTGCTATATATATAACATGATGAATGTCTTTAGTAAAACTATTTTAATTCAATAAAAACAAGTTTGTATTAATAAATAACGTGTTTTTAATACAGTGTGCATTTATTAAGTGCAATTTTTAAATAAAATATATCATACAGAATATTCTTTGAATAGTTTAAAATTTATGAATTTTATTAAAATAATATTAATTGATTTTTAAATATTTTTGATTTATAATAAATTTATAATAATAGCGTTTATTTGAGTCATCGTTACAATACTGGTATCGATTGAAAGGAAAGTTTTATTTTGAACTCTCGAAGAATATTCTGGAGAGTGACGGCCATAATATAATGGGTGGACTTACTATACATCTGAAAATACGAGTTCGTTTACTGGGCATGTGAGTCGATAGTGAAGTACTTTACGTTAGCGACAAATTAAAGTAATAGGTATCGGAAACATAAACAAAACAGCCTAATTAACAGCTCAACGAAAAATTATACATTCATTAAATTTGATATTTTTGTTTACTTAAAGTAATAGCATAATGATTAAAATAGAAATGTAATATAAAATTAAAGATTTTTTTTATTAGACAACATATTATGTTTACTTTCAGTGATATTCAAATTGAATTAAATTTGTGTTTTATTCGGGCGTATTTCTAAGGCTTATAATTGATGTCAATTAATTTTTTAATAAATCTTGTTTACTAATGTTCTCAGTTCTATTGAACTTATCAAGCACTTAACTATGATAGTAATATTGTCAATTATTTAATAAAAAGAAGTCTAGTTTTTAAAATATATAATAAGAACATATTTAAGATTATAAGATTACAAGATTATAAATTGTTATAGATTAAAATGTTAATGTATGTTAAAAATTTTGACATTTATTATGTATAAAATTATTGATTGCTAATTTTCCAGAATTTTGATATTTGGTATAAATTAAATTTTAATATTTTAGCTATACCATATAAAGTCATAATATAAAACTATATATCTCATTCACTTGAATACTTAGAAAATTACATTTAATTGACAAATTATAACTTTACAAAACTTTGTAATGGGGTTCTCATTCTCGCCCCGGGATGCTATGCTATACATGGGTAGTATATACGAGTACATACAGTCTCATCATTTTGGTTATTGGCATAAATACGTGGAAAATGTTAACATGACTTATATTGACTGCAATTATGCACAACATGATCAAAATAACGTGGACATGTCATTACCCAGATATGAAAATACATTTACTGTGCTTGTAACTCATGAGAGTGTAAATATAAATTTACTAATAATATCATTTACTATGAGTTGTCTATCAAATAATTTCTAGAGAGAATATTACCCTGTTGAAGGTCAAAATGCTGCATATTATAGCTCATTAATAGTACCCGTGTTGATAGAGCTTGGTAAATTGGTGAACCACAGGTATAAAATAGTTGTCTATCAAATAATTTCTAGAAAGAATATTACCCTGTTGAAGGTCAAAATGCTGCATATTATAGCTCATTAATAGTACCCGTGTTGATAGAGCTTGGTAAATTGGTGAACCAAAGGTATAAAATTGCATACAATATTAAATGTAAAATTGTGATACTCTTATAGCGTACACCTATACGTATTCAAATGTGACCTAACCTGGATTAGGAGACGACTATTGTTAATGAATGGACAGGTAACTGGCTATGATTTTACACCAATGAATTATCTATGGGAAACGCAATCTAATAACTCATGTTCAAGACCACTTTATATGTCAAACGTGTTGAATATGATAAGTCCCGTAAATGTTGAACACTTGCCTCCAATTGCCGACATTTATAAGGGTTTCGACCGATATGTCTGGTTTGCTATCATTACAGCATTCATCGCAGTATTCATTACACACATGTATTCAAACAAATTCACAAATAAACGTACCAGTACAACTTTGTTCGGGTTTATATGGATATACTTTAAGCCCCTGTTAATGAAACCGCTTCTGGACCCAGTGGTATTGATGTACATATATGAAACCGAGTATACATAGTGTGTTAACCAAATATAGTATGTTTTACTAAACAACCGTTTATACCACTGGGCTGGGCTCTATATGCGGCTCACTATTGAGGACCTATTGGGTGACAGGTATGAGGTATACACCGATAGTTACAAATACAATGCGTGGAGGAAACCGACATATTATGAGGGCTTTGGTAACAACTCATTCAGTGATAATTTTGTTAAACTGGTCACCACTAGGTTGAGGACATGGGATATCAAACAATTAATGGATGTATTTTCAGAAGTTTCTGAGAGTCCGCAAAAATTCCGTACATTTTTCAGTAACAAAGTGTTGATTCAGGACCAGAATTGGATGGATGTAATCGAGCCATACCTTCCCAGATTTATGGCCATACATGTGGGCCAACAGTACCTGTCAGTTCCTATAACACCCCTATGTGTTGGACCCACTTTTGAGTTTATTAATCAAACTAATGTTATGTGAGTATTGAATGTTGTGTTTAATTATATATTAATTATTTATACATAAATTTAATTATTTTATGAGTAGTGCTCAGCGTTTATACGAGACATCACTTTTGCAATACTGGTATCATTTGAAATCTAAGTTTTATTTTGAAATGAGCATGAACATACTAGTTAACGGAATCCTTACGGGAGACCAAAGTATTTATGACTTTTACGCCAATATTAACGAAGAATACAATGATTTATACCTCAATGACACGCAATCGCTATTCGTATTCATGATCTATAGTCTCGGTATTTGTGTAATCGGTTTAATCTGTGAATTATGTTATTACCATGCTTACATATTTTTCTATGTATTTCCGATCACTTTATTTTTGTCTAAATATAGACATTAACTAAATATAAGACTGTATTGGTCTTTTATCTATTCATTATCAATCAAATGCGTGTTTCTATGTTAGATCTATTTATAACGTGTAATATTTATCAAAATTAATTTTGTTTAATATAATAAAATCAATTTAAAAAATAACATTGTTTAAATTATATAATTTCTTTATGTATTTTACATGTTAGTTTCTAAAAGCATTAATTATTGTATTACATAAAACAATAAGGGAATTGTTATAATGTGTTAGTGTGCACCTGTATGTGTTTACATGCGATACACCTGATTACCGCATACCGTGTCATAAAATGGTAATGAATGGACAGTTGACTGCAATTGACAACACGCCTATGAATTACTACTGGGAGACACAGAAAGGCTACCAGTGCTCCCAACCCCTATACATGTCCAATATGATGATATTGATGAGTTCCGTACTCTATAAGCCTTTGCCACCGATTATCGACATCTGGAAGGGTTTGAGAAACAATGTCTGACTTTTAATATTCATTTATTAGTGATTAACAGGGTTTCAAACAAAATATCCCATAATAATAACCGGAAACACCATTTGGTGTTGGAGTTCATATGGATCTACTTGACTTTAAGCCATTGGCATCTAACGTGATCATATAAATGATAATTTCATATATTCATTATCAAGTTTAATGCAAACATCATTTTATTAATACTTATTCATAAAACAGGTTCAATCGGTTGTCATAAATATACTTATGGTATATAAAATGTGTATAACACTAGAAATAGGGCGTATTTTTATAAGGCAATAATTGCAATAAAATTAATAATTTATTTTTATACACAATAAATGTGCAGGGTCTGAAAATCACTATCAATGTAAGAAATATATGTTAATTA